ATTTTAATGTCTAGTAAAAATATCCTGTACGTTTCATTTAACAATATCTGTCATGTTTTAACATTACAGGACCTGATTGTTCATATTCTGGAGTGAGTGGAAATGTTCTCACTGATATCAGTGTCAGGAGAATCTGGCCCCTCATTTTTAGAGGATTGAAACCATCCTTAGAGCAGCATATGCTCTGCTCTCCACTTTCTTTGATTACTTCTAACATTCTTTTGATGTGGACTCAAAAAAAATCATTTTCTTCTTTGGATATATGTGTTTTAAAAGATGAAAAAAATCGAATAGTAGAGTAAAACATTTTGTGTTTCAGGCCACAAACCCATTTAACCCAAAAGTTGCTAATAGCTATTAGTTGAAAGAGAACAAAACATAGAATAATAAAACTGTTGGGCAAATAAAATTAATGACAACTAAAAAGACACCCTTCAGAGTCACAGAAATACAATACTCTTTGGTGTAGGCACACATGATATGCACTGACATAGCATAAAAATGTCACTCATGCCCTGGTGTCTGTCTACAATTATGAGCTGAATATTCAAGCAAAGGTCTTGTAAGCATCCCGATTTTGCTTCTCTGCACTCTGCTGAGAGGGTAGTTAAGAAAAATGGATAGACAGAAGAGTAAATGCCATTTATAAATACAGAAACTCAGTGCTCTGACATGCTGATGGTATAGGGAGGGGTAGAGGCACATCAGGATTAGATTTGCTTAGCATTCACTTTCTCAATGCTATAGTGGGAATAAACTCTGAGGAGATCTACATTAAAAAATAAATCCAGTGGCTAGAGATTTGTAAAAGATGCTTGGCTGCAAGATGCTGAGAAGTCACAACTCTGATTGACTTCATGGAATATAGCTGATGGAACAATCGATGGAATGTAATCATGTTGAATGTAGTATGTTGGAAAGGTGCTCCGATGTTAAAATTATATGTGTAGTGTAAAAGCCATGAAAGAATAGAATAGGTTATAATAGAGTAGAAAAGAACAGAGTAAACCTTCCTTTCAGAGATTCCTTTCAGAAGACTGTAGCTCTGAAATTAATTGAATTTTCTTTTTTTTCCCCTATCTTAGTGATTAATTATTATCGAATATTCTTTAAGAGCTGTGACATCTGTTAAATGTAATTACTTTCTCTTCGATGTGTAAATCAAGGTTTTTCTTTACAAAAAAAAAAAGGGGGGGGGAATTTATACTTAACTACTTTTATCTGCAATTTGCAAGTTAAGGTGTATGTAAAGCCTGTGGCTATACTAAAGGCTCAGTTGTGCCTCCTAGGCACAGTGTTAATTAAAGGGTGATGTGGATTTGTACCACTCCGAGGGGAACTCTGGAAGGGATGATACCTCAGAGAGGCACAATGCCTCCAGTGCACCACAGCATGTGAGGAAAATGCATGTGCTGTGCACCACCCACACTGATGCTGCTCAGCACCTCTGTGGGCCCATCTCCTTTCCACCCTCAGATCCACTTTGCTGGGGTCCACTCCAAGGGGCAATGGGCAGATACAGTCCTGGCACTCCTGTCCAATTCCTGAATGCCAAGGGAAAGGTGGTGCTGACACCCTTTTCACTGCTGATAACTATTCAGGCTGGACACAGTCTGGCTGAGGATAAACAGAAATTGCCAAGAGTCATTCCCTAGATATAGTTTCTCTCTTTACCCATTGTCAAGTCTTTTAAAGTCTGACAGCATGCGTGATGTTTTACAGCTTCTTACATCTTACCTGAGCCCATCCTCTATAGCTGATTTTGAATAATCCTATATCCAGAATCTGATTTTGTTCTCTTTGATATTTTTCATCAGGGATCATCTTTCCCTGGAGTAGTTCTCTTGACACCAGTGTATTTTTAGATATGATTTATCCCTGTGCAAATAAGATCAGCATCAAGCCTATAGACCTTTGGTTTAAAATATTGACAGTATCCAAAAGACATATTCCAATCTCTATGTAAATAATATCTGTGATTAATTTAATCCACATTTAAAGGTTTTCAAGGCCGTATTACTCACTGGATTAAATGTACATTTTGGTAATATATTATTGTTATTGTACATCCAATAAATCTAATTCAGCCCAGGGTGGTTTTTTTATAACCAAGTAATAGGTTTTATTATAGAAATGCCAAGACACTCTTACTTATAGTATAAGAGTACAAATTGCCAGTATAACAAATACTCTTCAGTTATCAAATCATCAGTCTTTTATGGTAACACTGACAAATGATCCCATAGACAGTATGATATTACTAATGTAATGTATTAACTTTCAATTTTAAATTGGTTATTAGATCTGGAACAACTGTACAATATATGATGTAGTGACTTGTGATCTAAATCTGCATAACTGCACAGCAAAATGTGCATACACGTAGTGCTTTAGAACTATTCACATATGCAGCATGAAAACAGTATCACTCTCAGTCCACAATTCAACACAGATCCGTAGATTGCATGCACTTAGAGGAAACTGTTACCAAGGAAGGTCTACAAGGAAAATTTAAAAATCATGCCAAAAATTTTTGGTAAGTCTTTGTTATTATTGGTCCCAAGAGAAACCCAGCCAATTGTGAAGAGCTGATGAAAATAAAAAAGAATAGAAGGATTTTTTTTTTTTAATTCAGTCTTTGAGGGTTCTTTTCTTACCAGCAGGTGTTTGTTTCATAGAAGCTATTCACTGTTACTACACAAGAAACAATATTTAATTACCTATATTTGATCTGGAAAAAGTGCAGAACCAGGGTCCTCTGTAGAGATTCTACATTTGTATAAAGTAAAATAAAATAAGCAGGCAGGATTAAGAAAATGTTATAAAAGTAATCTTTGCAAGAAGTATTTATTTGAACAATGAGATTGACAAGTCTAACAATGTGAGGAATATACGCTAACAGCTTTTCATAGCTTAGATCTGTAGTACTCAGCAGATGCACTTTTTTTCCTCAGTTCAGTTCCATATTTCAGTACTAGAAATCCAAATAGCTTAAATCATTAATAGTCTTAGAATGAGATACTATTTAATTTTATAAATTTTATGCTTCAACATCACCAGTAATTAATTTAGAATTTTAACTGTTCTTTTAATGCATCAAGGCTGATTGGAAGTAAATGAAAATGTTCTATTTGTCTTTCTGGTCAGTTGGATAATATTTATCTTGTGTAAGAGACATTTTTTCCCTAAGTCGGCTAAGTGTGGTCATTGTTGGTGCCAATGCACTGTAGAGATTTTTAAAAAAAGTTAAATAGTTTAGACAGTGAACTGAAAAATAGTAATTTTAAAAAAAAAAGTAGTAATCACAAAGGGATGTGAGTAGGAGTTTTTCTTTCTTAGGTCTTTTACTGACAAGATACATTTTTCTATCATGGAGAAAATCTTAGCTTCTTGTTCTTACCTTACTCTAGCACCCAGCCTCACAAGTCAAATGGAGCAGCTAACTGGCTGATCAAACTTAGGACAGCTGGCTATCACCCCAAAACCACATTATAGGATGGAAAAATTCATGCTGGATCTCAGTCAACAGTTTCTTCTCTGTCTCTCCACTCCCAGCCAGTTAATGTAGTCTCTTTTCTTCGGAAGTTCCTGCACTTGGAGACAGCTTTACCCCAGGTGGAGATTCCAGTGTTTTTACACTCTCCACCTAAAGAACAGTTACAGATATTTCTGCACTCCCTTCTGCTCACATTTGGCCAGCAGAGTGTATTTGTAATTTTATTCATTTATTGACACAGCTTTAGACTGGGGATGAAGTACTCATTAGTAGGCAGTAACAGTAGGTGTTTATATCTGACTCTCTGTCTTTATTTCACTAGCAGAAAGCATCTCTATTTACTATTTCACTAGCCATTATTTCACACATTCATAAATAGACATCTGAAGTGCAATACCCTCCACTCTCCCTGTAAGAATGTTCTCTCTTCAGTGCATCTAAATAAACTATACAACTGCAGAATGCAGCAACCTAAAGTCCAGTTCAGCATTCCTTGTCTGATCAAAGCTTTTGTCCAAATGTCTGAGATGGCTGAAGGACCAGCAGTTGCTATGAAAATTCATAACCTGGAATTACCCAGGGCACCGATAAGAGCCTGAAAGACCCAAGTCCCATTCTCTCATTCTGGGTGACAGAATTCTTCATGAAGGCTTCATTTTTGATCTAATTTTTGATCTAGGTACAAAAAAAATTTGACATTGATTTATACCTACAGGTGCTTTTGGAAATGCAATTACACCTATTATCCCAAAGTCTGAGACCAAGTCAAAACACATTCTAAGAATCAGATGCTAAATGGATGGTGGGGAGGTAAAGACCTCATACAGCTGCCCATGCTCAGTTCGTACTTGATCCCAAGCACATTGAAGGCACTGTGAGTCTTTCCTTTGACGTCAATAGGCTTCAGATGAGGTCCTGAGCAATTTTTTTAAAACCTCAGACAAATCAAAACCATTTCCTTTGGAACGAGACTGTTCACACCCCTTTGTGAAGACTATTTCCTTTCCAAACAAAGCTTTCATACGAAAGTCACATCAGTTGAATTTCTATTTTTACCAAAAACTTCATTTTTTAAAGAAGCAGGAAGCATGTTTTTACTTATATTTCATCTATTAGCATCTAAGCTGTTTTTGTTCAAACTTTCAAAAATATCCCCAGCTGGACAGGCCAGACCTACAAACAAAAATGCAGAATATTTTAGAAAGTTATTGCCGTTTAAGAAGCCCTGTTTTTAAATAGAAACTCCTTGCAGATTTAACCATTTTATGTGCTAAGGGGTTGTCCCTACACACTGCCAGTAGACTCCAGTAGATCATTTAAAATATATCTATAGCAAATGTTATAACTTGTATAACAGAACTAATATAACAGTAACTCTTACGCAGATCACTGCACTAAATACTCTATAAATTTATAAATGCTTCCAAAATGCAAAACAAATTATAAGGTATAGTAGACCTGGGGAGAGTAGATCTACTTATCGGGCACCATTTCTGCTTAACAGATTTATGAAAGTGTTGGGGAGATTCTTGGATAATTTTGTCCATGAAAAGCAATCCTTGTAATGATGAAGAGAAGAGGTAAGTGCTGCCCTGTTACTGAAGTCTGTGAGAGTGGTGAATGTGTATTCCCTGCCTGCAAAGAACAAGGGTGCCAAGACATGTTAGAGACACCATGTTGATGTGCAGAAGAGGCCAAGTACACTGATTCTATTCCCCTGTGTAAGCAGGGCTCCCATAAAGTTTAACATAGGGACATCACTGACCTGTGGGCTGTGAAAAATTACCTTGCTGAACGCCACAGATTTCTATATTGTTTCATAAATATAACAACTGCCAAACTTATCAGTTAAGACTCACTTGTGCCAGTGTTTATCATCATTTCAAGGGATAAGAGTATAAAAGGGTCTTTGCTTCTTGAACTAACTGTTTATGTTGATGGAGAAACTATCTCAGTTGGATAGCAGAGTTACCACAGAAAAAAAAAAAAAAGGTCAGATTAGATGAGCTGTGTTTTCTTTTTCTGCTCAAGCATAGGCATGACAACCCCACCTCAGTGATTACCATCTCCTGTTTAATGTGATTGCAATTTTACTCTGGGAAACAGCACACTCTAGAAGTTATTTCTTGAAGAATCTCCTAGGAACACTTCTTGGCAAGTCCACTGCTGTGTTTATCTTGTATTGGGCCTCCATCCTTTGTGAAAACACACACATCTGTGTAAAACAGATGGATAAGGTGATCTTCATCTGCAGTCTCCCCCGTTGTCTTCTGAGTGTTCTGCAAACATGTTCCTCTCAGGGGCCCCAGCTCTGTGATTTTTGGTGCAGGAGCAAAAGCATGTGTTCTGCAGAGGAAGAGTGTAGATCTTGTGGGATAACTCCTGATGCACAGTAGTCCTTAGTAGAAGCTAAGTAAGTCAGACAAAGCCAGAAGATGATTCCCTGGAGAAGAATAGTCCAAGTAATCTAGTAGACAATCTTGGGATGAGATGAAACAGAACTGAATATAGTAAAACAATCTGAGAAACCTCTTCCAGAATGAAAACAGAGGCTAAGAAGCCTGACTGAAAACCAGTGTCAACAACTGCTTCTGGGCTGCATCACTTTCTTCTCCTTTGCTAATGAAAGACTTACTCTGAGCAAAATTTATTGTCCAAAAAGGACTTGTTCTAGCACCTTAAAGGAGGCCAGTAGAAGGGACAGAGACGACTAGTTTGCTATAATATGTGAAATTGCCCCAAAATATGTACTGTGCCTCAGATCAAAAACAAGCAGACCAGTAAGTATAAAATAAGCTTTGAAAGCAGTGCAAGGGGTCACAAGTTTTTTGGTGTGAGGATCTTAGTGGCCTTAGCTGATGTCAATTTAAAGAGATAAATTATTATACCAGAGGCAGAAAAAGTAATGTAGTATTATTCCCCAAGGTATCAATATCTCTTCAGAATTTTTTCTTTTTTACTTAAGCAACAACAAAAAAAGGAGTTTGGTGGAAGCCAAAACAACAACCAAAAACCCCAAACCAAAACCACCACAGTTCCTCTGAATATGAATTTAACCAACTAGTTGCCAGGCTTCGTGATGATTTTTTAATCCCTTGGAAAACTGATTTGCTTTTCTGTCTAATTGGGATTCTGCTTGTATCATGACAGTTCGGGAATCCTAAAGAAGAGGGCTATAAATACATACAGGAAGAGAAGGATGAGTAGGCAGGCATCCTGTGGGTTTAAGAATCACCCTGGCAAATACCAGAGTCCCAGTTCTAACTCATTTCTTTAACAGCACTGGTGAACTTCAAAGAGCACAGCACAGAGCATGCTGAGTCCCAATTACACACCTCAAAAGTAAATGTTACTTCAGTGGAAAGACTTTGGAAATTCTAAACGAAATAAAGGCCAGGATCCCCAGATGCTCCCTGAAAAATGTAGATCCTTTAATGATAACTATTTCTTCCTTGAAATACATAGTTATTAATACACAAAACTACATTGCTTGGTGAAAAGTTGTTTGAGAAAGGTGTTAAGAGTACATGGATATTACTTCTCTTCATAAAATATCAGGAAAAAAGTGTCAAATAATTAATTTCAGTGTGTTTCTATTGTTTTTTAACAAGCTGTCTTTAGAGACATGAAGTCTTTTCTGAACATGGCTCGTGTTTCAAAGGAGAAAAGGAGTTAGTACAAATAATTGGTGCCCATTGAAGTTGTGGAAGCATGAGTTATTTTATTTTTTTAAAAAGTCTTTAAAAGCTGTTTAAACTCTCTGTAGTTAAATACAAGTTCAAAGAGTTGTCTTTCACATCATTTAGCAAAAAAGCGTTGCAACAAATGTCTTTGATTGTTGTGTTGTTTTTTTCTTTCTCCCCACAGTGATGAACAGATTTTTCTCTAACACCGTAATCCAGTACAAGGAAACAAACCTAGCAACGTGGCCGTAAAATTAATTCAAATAAGTAATGGATAAGGAAATAGGTATAATGAGTGGCCTTTAATTTCAACTGTAGAGCATCTCTAACCTTCATGACAGTGCTCACACGCGTATTCCTGTCTCACATACTCACCTTCCTGCAAGTATATCCAGTGAACTGGCTTTGGCAGGTAATGAAAGTATTGAAGTAACTTCTATAGTCCCAGCACACATAATGTTACTTAAATGGAGTTATTTTCACTGGACATTGCTATGCTGCAGTAGATACACCAGTGCACCGCCTTGGCTAACAGATATCAATTATACAGAAGCGTGTGTGCATGTGTACACTTTACTAAGCCTTTGCATTAAGCTGCCAACAAGAGTTTGTGCCCTTAACTCCATAGGGTGTTGATGTTTAGCTCACATTTTACCTAATCCTCCCTCTAAGTAGTTCTGTTTTTCCTCTAGGAGAAGAACTAGAATAGGCTTTTCCCAAGGAAATGGACATAAACCAGGATTGATAAAGTGTGTTAAGCCTCTTGTATTATTATTAGGATTCTAGACTAGTTGCATTGTAAATAAGATGTAGGAGATGAGTCAGTAATGAAACACATAGCAGATAATTCATGTTGAAGATCTTGATAGCATAAGGTCTAATTTTGCAAGACCAAATAATTTTTTAAAAAGCTTAATTTTGTCATGCAATAAAAATAATCCCTCTACTTTCATTTCTTCAAATATGTCAGAATTACGGGGGTTTTAACATGTTCTTCAGTGTTCTAGAATTCCAATTCTCTCACTGTTTTTCTGTTATTTTCCTTGATTTTGTTTTCCATAGTATTTCTTAATTCATTTATCTGTTTCAAACCACAACCATAATATTTGTCCTGATTGTAATGGATTTCTCTACTTTTTTCCCCTTTCTTTTCTTTTACAATAGTTCAGTCCACCATAATTCTATAATTCACTTTTTAAAAGAATGGGGATTATATAAGTGAAGGGGGAGAATTCACATTTCATATTAAAAACAACAGCTAAGCTTAAATGCAAGTGCCACGATCTAAAATCCTTCAACCACACATTAAGGCATTTTTAAAATAAGCACCTATGAGTAACGCCCTGTAATGAGAACATCTGTGTTATGTTAGCACTCCTTTGTGTTGTGAGAGATAGCAGAAAGTTGTCTGCCTTGCCCATGCTGGCAGTCCCCAAGTGCCAGACCTGAGCTTGGGTGCTGTGCATTCAGTGACGAAAGACACGAGACGAGGAGCCAACCCCTGATTGCAGGGCAAGGGCTCAGCAGTACCTGGGAGCCCCACTGAAGCAAACACTCAGATGTAAAAGAAAACATTTGGATATAAAAATTATTTGGATATCTCCGCTTGATTAAGCAGTCATGATGCCTACTGAGGGCTCTTACACGTCTCAGTCTCAGGTGTGGTTGATCAAATATAGGCAGAAGCAGGTTTGGATACAGGATTAGTCAAAACTGTAAACCTCTACATTAAGACAGATAGCAGCCACAGCAGTACTGAAGCTAAAACAGAGAAATCACACAGCAGGGAGGCAATGCATGGTAAAATGTGAGGAGCACTGAAATGTGTGTTCTCCTCTTCACCTCTCTTTTTTTTTTTTTTTTTTTCTTTTCCATGCTTTTGATCATTTTTAAAATAGTTGAGAACTGCCAGTTAATTCTGATTTCAGATGAATGGCAGCAGTTCCTGCATGTCTTAGAACATGCAGGATTATAAGGGTTGCTGTAGGTAGAGACCTTTGTGAAGGAAGTTTTGCTACCATAAAGGCTAATTTTTTACTTTTTTTTCCAGGAAATCTTGGATTGTGGACCACAATTCATTAGTCATACCCTGTGGCTCAATATCACTTTCAGCATGATCCAAACTGCAAGTGTGAGTCCGTAATTATCTTTCCTTTGTTTCTTTAGAATCCAACATTTCTATTTCATTTTTAAATGGTTTTATTACTGTTTTATTGGGTGCACAAAAATCATAATTTCTTCTTCACTGATAGCTGAACATGATGCAGGTTTTTATTTTTTGTTTCTGTTTCAGTTTTTCTATAACACAGAATGATCTGCCTTAGTGATGCCATAATATGTCTTACTGTTTTACAGTAAATCACCAGTTTCAGGATAGTCAGAATGTCAGGAAAATTTGTTTTCAACGATGCTTTAAAAAAAGGATTTTTCAGCTCAAACTTAATAGATCTTGTGCCTAAATGATATCAGCATTTTTTGCTATTAGCAATTTTAAGAAATTTCCTCTTAGTACAGTGGCACTAGACTGGTACAGACCACTTTTAGATTTCAGGTTACTTGGTTCAAGCTGCAGTAAGTGAAACTTTTCACAAACTACAGTGCACTCAGGCTGCTAAAAACACTGATTTAATCCAGCTTTATGGATCTCTACTGTTAAAAACAATGATTTTCAAAATATCTTGGCACCAAGAATGCTAAGACAAACTGATATACTCCTCTATAGTTAGAATTGATTCAGGGAATACACACAATATTTCTGTACTGTAATCCTGCAACAATTCCCCTAAACTGTCTGCATTCATGGAGAGTTCTACTTTTGTTCCTGACAGCCTAAACAAGGAATCCACATCAGTACTTCCATATTTTTACCCAGGATTTCCCAGACAAAAATATGTGTTCCCATACCCTTAAAATATTTGAGGTATGCACAGTAAATCCATTACTTTCATAACATGTCAGACATACTCATGAATGTGCAGAAGAACTGAACACCATATGCTAAGTAGCTGTTATATCTCCTGGAAAATACCAATACATGGCAGTGTTAGAACCTCCTGGCAGCACAATCCAGCGCTTCCTGGAGTCATCAGACTTGAGGCAGCACCACTGTCACACAGGACAGCAAGCCTGCCCTTCCCAGCACCCTTCCACAGGCTGCCATAACCTGGGACAGAGGATGTCTCCTCAGCACCGCCATGTGCTGCATTTCAGGACTGAAGAGTGGCAACAGGAAAACCCCTGGGCAGCTGGAAATCCCCTGTCAGTGCCAGATCACACATGTGACACCTTCCAGCAATTCCCATAGAAATGATGGAGCTGTGCTGGTCAGGGTAAGGTTAGGATCTGACTCTGCCACTTTTCCTCTTAAGAGAAGTCTTAGGTCTTTGGAACTGGGTGTTACCACAGATCAACAAACAGAACTGACAAAGGGCAGGACATGTATTAGTGTAAGGATAATAACAAGCACATTTAAGCCAATAGAAACGAGCAAAGCCAAAACATCTACATCTATGCACAATCAGTCTGCTGAAAGATAATATTTACAACAGATGTTCAGTTTCTTGTCCGTCTTCTCCTCTTCCAAATTTCAGGAAACAAGCTCTGCTTTGACAATCTTACCATATATGTTTAATTCCATGTATTTTAGAAAGCAAGTATGCACTTTAAAAGTCTACATTCATGTTGGGGGTGGGTGGAGGGGAGGAATTAAAAAAGAAAAAGGAAAAAGCAAAGAAAAAGAAAAACGTAGGTAAGATGACTCTATTTGTTCATCTCTATATGTGAATGTTACTGTGCACTTCTTCAACCTGAACACACAGGCATGTACAGACAATCAAGCACATTGAACCCAGCAGCAGGGAACAGGGGAAGCAGCTGAGCCAGAGAGGAGACAAATTCAGGGCAGATATCAGGATGGCAAGGGAGAGTATGTCGGGAATAGGGACTTTACATCCAAGGAAGGATATTTTGTTCTTTCAGGAGACTTTTATGGTGTAGTCCAGAAATGGGATGCTAAGCATACCAGGTTTAATTGCTGTATTTCAATGCATCGAAAACAACATGCAATGCAAATGTAACAAAAACCGTGTCCCTTGGTCTTAGTGGACAGCTATGATAAAAGTGTATGAAGAACAGAACATATCTTCATTGTATTAATATACAGTATAAAAAATAGGTCTAGAGCTCAGGACACAAATGGAGCTTTAGATTAGCTGTCAACAATGTCATATCCATGTTAATAATGCCCTATTCGTGCCTGGGGCTGACAGTCTTTCTTATTTTTATTCACAAATTCCATTTAATAACGGCAATAAGTCACTCTAGACAGTGCATTTCTAAGGGATTTCTGCACTTCTCAGGTGGTTAAAGTCACTTGACCTTTGGCCTCATGCCTTAAAAACTCCCTAAGAGATGTGCTAAATTGCCCAGAAATACATTGCCTGTCATGTCTTATTGGTTAATTAAGGGCCAACCTAGATGGCCTATAAGGACTGCCCTTAAGTAATTACTAATTGATCTCCTACTCAAGAAAAATGAATAAATTCCACAGCAGCCACACTGTCACATGGCATTTATTCAAATTCATATTCCTCCAACAGAGGATGAAAAGCACACAGCAAATGGGTGGATTGAGGGCAGAAACATCTTCACAGTGGCAAAGCCTCAGTCTCAGAGTTTGTCACGTCTTATTGGTTGTAGCCAGTGCTCTCAGCCCTTCCCTTGCATCTCGTATGTTCCATCTGGATTTAAGTACTTAGAAAGATATTTAAACTTTGTTACAAATATCCAGGCAAGGAACCTCAGCAAAAGTGCTAAATGGTCACCTGATGAAAGCTAAACAGTTGTAGCCTACCAAAACAGTCAGAGAAACACATTTCAAAGCTCTTTTCTGAAGAAAGGCGTTGGGATTTAGGCTGGTACAGGAGATGTTCTTTCAGCTTTTTTTAACCCAAATTGTTTATCAGAATTCATGAAAGAAACTTCCTGACCTTTTTGCGTTTACTGTCTAAAGCTCCAAAGAGTCCAAAAACATGCTGTTACCTTCTGTTTTGTTAAGATGATGATAATTCTTTGGGTTGCATGAGAAATCTTGACAATTTATAGAAAGATATTTTCAGGTATGAGGAATGTGATGCTCTTAAGAAATGTATGGATAACAACATTTATTAGGTTCCTATTAGCTTCAGTAAGAGCACATCTATATGCAGTCCTATCCAAGTAGTTTTCACATACTGACTTCTCACACATTAGTGGTTTACATATCTCAAAATTATTCAAAATACAAGGGAACCACCTCTGAAACATTTCCCTTGGACTCACTGGATAAAACCAGGCTCATTGGAGTCAAAGGTAACAGTTCTGTTGACCTCAGTAGGAGGCCAAGATTTTTGTCCTGTATACATGAATAACATAAAACTACACAAAATTTGGGAGCCACTCTTTTACGTGATAACATACAGTACAGAAGGATAAGCCAATTTTTTTAGTATCTCCTATGAAAAGCTGCAGTGGTTCCATGCTTCAACTGATGCTTTGTGAAGGGCTCTCCCCACTCCTCTGAAACCACTTTAGGGGAGGAGCAACATTTACACTGCATAGAAACAGGGAATCTGAAATCTGGAAACTCACCCAGATCACTGTGGGGTTATTAACACCAATGGCATAATTCTAGGAATCACATTAAGATACCCTCCTCACTTATTAAATGCCTAACTGCTTTATTTTCTGTACATTATGTTAAATGTTATGGAGTCAGTGTATGTGAAACTGTAAGTGCTATGGATCACTGGGACGTGTGACATAATGACCTGGTCATCATGATTACATAACTGATTACCAGTATTTGACTTCAATGTATTGGATTGATTTAAAATATCAAGAGATTGATAAATTAAATAAATAGACTAATCAACAGGCATTCCTGAAGCCTGTTTGAAACAGAGATAAACCGTGAGCTAGAAAGGGCTGCTTCCCCCACCTTAATAAAACCAAAGGGCTGAAAAGCACAGTCAAATCCAACAACTGCCCTTTCAATCAGTCCCCTGGTACTTTGTGTAAAAATTGCATCCTGACCTATTTCTACAGTTGATGCAATTCTGGAATAATATGTTTGATTAAGCTGGCTACCAGCAAGATGTATAAACATATGCAATATAAGCTAATTTTTTGTGATATAACATTTTTACAGTTACTCAGAGGCAGCAGTGAACTGGCATTTGTAGTGCGGGTTTTTTTCGTAATCTCAGAGATCAACTAGATATTTATTATTTATTTAGATATTAGATATTTATTTAGATATTCATCATAACCAAATATCAATATTTAAAAGTGTATTTGTTTAAAAATAAAGGAATAATAATACTACTAATTCTGATTCCTGAACGTGCCTAGTTTCTTGCAGCTGAAAAAAAGGCCTTTGCTGTCATCATGTTCTGCAATGATTTCTGTGTTTTTCTATAACGTTTTTCTCCCTACACATGTGGGTTTTATATCCTCTTCATGTTGGTATAGCATGAAGTCTTATGTGGAATTTAGAGGATCTGAACTAAATGTAGCTAAAAGGAACTTTTGGATGAACTGCCTGGGATTTGTTCAGATCTGTTAAAGTAATGGGGGAAAGCACAAAAGGATAAAGAAAAGAAAGGCCTTAATCTTTGTTCCATGAGTGATAAAGCAGCATCACATGGGTGAAAATTGGCCTGACCTTCACCCACATGATGCTGCTTCTGCCTCAGCCACTCTTTCTTTGCTCTGATTAAGTGAAGATAGCCTCTTTCTCTGCAAGGAAAAGTCAAAGAACAAAAAGAAAAAAAATCCTGTCTTAACTATAAAAGGTTTATTTTTTTAATCACAGTTGGGCTCATACAAGCCAGTTTCTAATCTTATTTTTTTAAGCTAAAAAAGTGCCTTTTTAGAATTTCTTTGGCTCAGTTTCTTTAGCCCCCTCCCCCCCCGAACCTCAGGGCCTAGATCTTAACTTGCTTCCCTTGGATGTGCTTTGTTGCTCATCTTCACTTTTACATGATAGCTGTTTGACTTAAATGGGTTGTTCGCCAAAGGATTGCCCCTTGGGGAATGGAAAAACTGGAGGGAGGGAGAGGAAAAGCAGTACTCAGCTGGTTTAAATGGCAC